TCACTCAGCTCCCCGTGTGCATAAACTACGCATCGCGTAATTATGTGCCATGCACAGACGCATGTTGTGTAACTATGCGTTCTGACAAACATGAATACCCCGGAAAAACTTTCAACATGAAGAAGAAGTTGAAAAGAGGGGGGGGGGGGCATGAACCAACTGGTTCATGGCTGAACAGTATAAACAGATTAATGTCCATGAATTGATCAATAATCAAATGAACTGATTGTTAACAATAATCATGAACTGATTAGTGACAATAGAACCAAAATCACAGACACGACTGTGACTGAAAACAACATCTCACACTGTAATGCATGCAGACAGAAGTGAGCTTAAACAGAGTTCCATGAGCACTAAGGACAGAATGTGTCATGGAACGAGCCGTTACATCACGTAGGTAAAAGCGAATAAATGAGCAGGGTGTTGACCATGCAGCCGCAGTGCAAATGTCCTGCATTGACATACCATTATGCAGAGCAGTCGAAGATGCGATACCCCTGGTCGAGTGTGCTTAGAGGTTGACAGGAGGCCCTAAATCTGATGCTCTGTAGGCTTCAGAAAAAGGCCTCACACAGCCAGTGTGACAAGCGCTGGATGGATAACGGCGACCTGCAGAAGCATCTCTATAATGCACAAACAATTGTTGAATTTGAACGCATTGCAGCTGTGCGCGTTACGTAACACGTCAACGCCTGCATCGGGCAGAGAAGATGAACAGATGCTTCCCCTTCTGATCTGTGGGGGGGAAAAGACCCCTCCAACGACATCACTCTTGATTTAAAAGAGCTCGTGATGTTTTAGGCATAAAAGCTGGGTTGGTCTTAAAACAGCTGAGCTGCCCGTCAGCCTAATTCTAAGGCATGACGAAACAACAGAGAGGGCAGATAATTACTTACCCTCTTAGCGGGTGTTAAAACCAGCAGCAGGACTGTTTAAAGAGACAAGAATTTAAATGAAAACTGATCCAGAGGCTCAATTGAAGCTTTGATCAGGGCTCGCAGGACCAGCGTTAAATCCCACTGTGGAACAAGTGGGCATGAAACAGGCCTACATCTCTGAACACCTTTTAGAAACCGCTTCATCAGCGGGTGATTAAAAGCTGTTCTGTCTCCAAACCCTTTGTGGCAGGAAGAAATGGCTGCAACGTACGTTAAAGCGTACTGAAAGCCAACTCCCTATCCATCAGGTGTTGTAGAAAAACAACACGCTGCCTAAAAAGCATGAAGTGGTCTCTAAACCTTCTCTGTACACCAGCGCTGAAAAGCCGTACCCTTGATGTGTACAGAACTGTGGTAGATGCAGCACGTGAATCTTGAATTGTGCACACTATCTCCTGAGGGAGACCCATCCTCTAAGTGGGACCGCTCAGCGGTCAAACCCACCGGTGTTGACCTATTTCTGGGTAACTCTTGGTCGCTCCTCCTGCCTGAAGGAGAGCATCCTTCCTCCACGACAGTTCCACGGCGACCCCACAACAGACGTTGCAGGCCTGGGAACCATAGTGCGTTCACACGCCGGGAGCCACCAGGAGAGCTGTCAATCCCTCCTCCTGAACTCGGTTCATGGACCGTAAAAAACAGAGGAGGTGAGGGAAAAGAAACGCGTAAAAAGCGTTTTGGGCCACCGACTGTGAGCAAATGCGTCCCCCCCCCAGCGATGGATCGTCTCGCGGGCTCAGGGAAAAAACCGTAGTTGACATTGCGCGTTCTTCTCGCGTCGCAAACAGGTCCACAGCTGCTTTGCCAACTTCTGCTGTGTCTGAAAAACATCAGATCCGGATGGAGGATCCGGTCCACATAACGTGGGCCGCCCTTGGACGTCACATCAGCCCCTCTGTTCAGAACATCGGATATGTAAACCGCTCTAATAAAGCAGGTTTGATGAACCCAACTCAGTAGCTTCCGCGCAATGTGTAACATCTGGGCTGAACGCACACCCCCCTGGCGGTTTATGTACGCAGCAGTCACCATGTTGTCTGTGTGAATCAACACGTGTTGATTCTGTAGCACGGGAGCAAAATGTTGAATCACATTCAGCACTGTGCGACACTCCAAAACATTGATGTGGGCTGATGTGCGGTGGGGCCACAGCGCCCCTACTGCTTGAGATAGGCATGTTCCCCCCCCCAACCTGACAGAGACGCGTCCGTGAAGACTGACACGTGACGTGGGTCTGCTGACGGGGACTCCCTCTGACAGAGCCAGGGTGTTTCCCCAGTGTCGGAGGTCTGCTCCCATGGAGGGAGGGACAGTGATCATCCGTCTCTTTTGTTTTACTGGATCCACACGCAGACGCGTGTGGATCCGAACTGGCGGGAAAAGGCGAGGGACGTAGAAAAAAAAGGGGTCCCTTCATGTCAGCCTCCTCCCGGGTTCCGCCGGGCAACCCCTGAGGGCGCTGTCGGCCGGGAGCGGTGTGATCGCCGATGCGAAACGAGGTGGGATGGGGTGAGCATTCACTCAGCCCCCCTCCACCTACACTACGCTCCCCGGGAGGGAATGAGCAGCGGGGGCTGCAGCTGAGCACACCTTGCCCCGGAGGAACCATCCGGTTCGCCCCGAGGGTCGGCGATAAGAGGAAAAACACAAGATGGCGTTGTCCAGCGTGTAATGACCTGTCACTGGGAAATGTTCCCGGACGCTTACCTTGGAATAAGACTGCTGTCATCTTCTCCTCGGGGAGGAGAACTCACCGGACGACCGGAGGTCGACTGCCGGGCCAAGCATCCTTCACAAGGTTGGTCATTTACACAATTTATCTTCTTTGTTCTTCTGACAGTGCTATATTAGCTCGCTGAAGAAAAAATGGGAGCCGATTTCCCGCTCTTAACGTAATTTATACGGACCGGGTGGGGCCCACACAGCAGGTGGGCGTGGACTAATTTTTTTCAGTGCTTATGCTGCGCATAACGGGATAAACCATCAGCGACAGCCTTAAAGGGCGAAGCCTATATGAAATAGAACTACCTGTCCTGATGCAGCAATCCTTGTTCCTGGACACGAGTCACTGACAGATGTTTTCTGACCCGAACACAGGAGCTGATCGATTCCTGATGAACTCTGAATGTTTCTGTCCGCTCACAGCTCAGAGGAAATCTGATAACTTCAACCCATTTTCTCTTTTCAAGGATCCGTGTCAGCCAAGGCCACAGCTGCGAGGATAAAAACTCCTGTCGGTGGTTTGAAGCCGCTCGGTGAATAACGCCACAGAGTCAGAGGACGAGCTGAGGACACAGTTCAATGCAATAAACTGGATCTATAACTGCTGAGATGCACACAAATTCATGCGGGCTCAACTTATTTTCTCTCCTCCGATGCACACATTCACTGAAATGAACACTGGGTGTTTTATACCCAACAGCCTGCTTTGTTCCCCATCACACCTGATCGTCCTAATTTCTAAGAAAAGCTCCAGCTTTATTTCTTTCGGCTCCACTGATTCACTTTTCCAGCTTTTCGCTCAAAGCCTGCTGAAAAGCACCTTGTTTACAGTCAGATGGTGCTCAGACACGTTCGACGCACACAGACCCAGCCTTCTGTCCCGACAAAGTCCTCGGTCAATATCCACTTATCTGCTGCTATTAGACGCTGATTTTTCTGCCCGTCTCCAAGTGATGTGTTGTGTTTGACCAGCGAAGGTTTCAGACAATATTCTTGCTTTTATTCAATATTTTCTGTTGCAGAAAATTCTGTTCCCTTCACTCACTCAAGTAAAACCATATAGCAGAGAATATAACACTGTCGTGGAGAAGACGCGATGACAAGTGGCAGACATGACCTGCACTTAAATACATTCATCATCAGCTTTATTTCTTTGTTCTTCACCTCACCAAGACCACCACTTCTGTTAAGGCTAACGTGCTAGTTACCTCTTTTCTCTCACAAGGATGCAGACAGGTTGCAACAGGATAAACTGCTGCATGTCAGTGAAGCATTGGGTTTGGGTCCTCATTACACTGTTTGTGTCCCAGGCTGCACATCAAACTGCAGCAAGTGAAAGAGAGGCGTTCCGTTTGCTTCTAGCCTCAGTTTCCTGCCTCCTAAAAAGGACTAGCATGAAGAGTCCACATCAAGAGAGCCTTGACAGCCTACCAATTCCATGAGGGGATGGAGAGGGCTTACATTTCTAGAAAAGATGCTGGTCAGAGTCCAAACACATCCATCCATTATCCTTACCCGTTTCTTTCTTTTCGGGTCGCAGGGGTCATCAGTGCTCATATCCAGCAGTTGCAGTGCGAGAGGCAGGGGACACCCTGGACAGGTCTCCAGTCCATCACAGGGACACAGAGACAAATGAGACAAACAACCATTCACTCTCTCACTCACACCTAGGGACAATTTAGTCACCAATCAGTCTAACATGCATGTTTTTGGTCTGTGGGAGGAAACTGGAGTACCCGGAGAAAACCCACGCCTGCATGGAGAGAACATGCAAACTCCACCCAGAAAGATCCCCGCCTGGGATTTGAACTGGGGTGACCTGCTCGCTGAGAGGCGGCAGCTCTATCAACTGCGCCACCGTGCTGCCCACTCCAAAGATAAAGGCTTTTCAATCAAAATCATACTTTCTGCTACAACTGGAAACTAGCTGCAACTCAAAAATGTGAGAATATGGTCAGTTTTCCGCTTAATTCTCACGTTTGCAACAAAGAGACCAGGGAGCTCTGAGGCTGCATTTTATTTGGCCAATTAAATTTTTTTTAATGAATCATAAATAATGATCATCGTGAAACTGTATTCTAGGCTGTGCACGTGAATTCATTGCCCATCTCTCCCCACATCATACCTGCTCCATACACACCATGGCACCATGTTCATGATTTAATCTACACTTATTTCAAATCTGCCTATTTTCACTTCATATAGCCCAACAAGGATGATCTAAAGAACAGGAAATAAAATCAGTGTTTAGGAGATCAGATCTGAGGTAGATGCCGAGTTCCTGCCTTTCAGAGGAGAGACGACGAGCATCTGTTTGAAATAAAACCAGAGAGTCACCTTTCATCCTTTTGATGAGGTCTCCATCTTCTGACCCCACATCCTCCCGGTGCCTCTTCAGACAGCCACCTGCAGAAACATGTCCTCACTTAAAGCCTCACACCCATCATCTCACTTTATTATTGATTATATTATTTAAAAAAAAATTTCTGGATTGCGTCTGAACAGATGGAATATATGAGGTAAAAGCATAAAAATAAAAAAAAAACACTGATAAAGAATAAACAGTACACACACAGATGAAGACAGATGAAAATGCACAGACAAAAACCATTTGAACACAGACCTTCTAACAGCCTTGAGCAGGGCTTACTGGCTGGCAGAGGATCCATATTCAAGACCTTGTAAAGCTGTCCAAATGCTACAAGGCGTAACGCATGCTGAAACACACAAACAGAATAAGGACACGTCATTGTAGTGGTTGAAAACCCTGCAGTGCACACAGGAGAGTATAAGAAATAAACAAGCAGCAAAGCTACCAATTATTTCCCGATCGATACACTTTAATTATCAGAGAAACTTGAGGGAGCAGCTCTGTGTTTGTGTGAACCTACCAATTCTGTAGGGGGAAAATATCATGTTTTATAAACACTTTGTGGGCAAAAAATGACTTGGAAATACAGAAAAATATTCCCAGACTTCATTTCTACTACAGAGAGCGAGACTGAAAACCGAGCGAAGGCAGTAGAGATAAAACTGAGGATGTCTTCTTATTTACTGAGCCCACACTTTCTGCCCGGGGGGCAGACTTTGTTTCATGTTCTGAGCAGAAACAGTAGCTGTGACGGTGTGAACCGGGGCTCATTTGACGGCTAATGAGGCTGCCGGTCTGAGAAGCCTCCACAGACCAAGGTCAGAGTTCATTTTTCTGTGGACAGCTCAGCTATTTATATTGCTGACATGCGTGGCTTCAGTGGACTCGCTTTAAATAACACTCTGTCAGTAGGAAGAAACAGTACCGGGCTGTTTACTGGAGGAAAATGCTGACTTTGGTGCAGTGAACAGGGAGGAAGCACGCCCAGGTGGATAGTTCTTAATCTGTCCGGCTAATGAGTGCCCTTTGTTAAATCAAACATCGGCAACTGGGTTTATAGCCCCCCCCCCCAAAACAGGAAGAGAGGTGTAATAATACTCTGAGGGGTCGACATAAAGATGGAGTCTGTACAGGAGCAGATTATGGATGTAAAACGCTTATAAAATGAATTTCCGTAGGTAGTTCTGCAGAACTAATTACTCTGGGGAAACGGCACTGCGTTCTGATGAAGATCCCAGCTTCACTCTAAAAGTGACAAACAGCTTTAAAACATTTTGTTGCATTGCAGAACAGTTCTACTTCGAAATTCTTTTGTCAGCACCGTCGGTCGACTGATTCTTTTGAAAATGACATTTTGTTCGTGAAGCACCCTCTGAGGGACCAGTCGGAGCCTGAGCAGCCGCACCGTCGAGGTGAAACAACAGGTTCATGAGAACTTGGAAAGCTCCACACGGGGTGACGAGAAGAGGAAATACGTCTCGCTTCCTTAACAGCTACACCGTACAGACAGCGTCTCTTTGGGCTGTGACTTGTTGAAAAAACAGAATTGAAAGAAAACATGCAGATTTTCATTCAGAATGACGACGTAGCTGGTGACTCAAAATCGTGGTGAAATTGCTAGAAAATAGATATATTTTCAGTTGCAGTCCCACTGAATTCTTAGTTTTCAGCCAAGTGATGGCCAGTTTTTGAAAACGACAGCTCATGTTTCGTAATCAAACTACATTTTTGGTCATGCACATTATTTTGTTGTCCACCTTTGCCCACATCGTACCCACCTTGTTTTGTACCCACTTTGGCAGCTGCCCCACATTTAGGATTCATTCTGCTAGAGGACACTTTTGAACAAAAAAAATTACAGTTTTGAACGAGTTTAAAAAAAATTACCATTATTATTATTATGATGTTTGTGGTTTTAGACCTGGGTATTTGTCTCGGGTGCTTTTGGTCAAAAGAGTGCTCCTGTGCAAGAGTCAAAAAAAGCTCTAGTGCTCTTGAGATGGGTTGGAGACTCCTACAACAAAATTCCAATGGGTCAGAGAGAGGTTTGAGATGCCTCGTCGTCTCTTGAGCTTTAAATATTGAATATTTTGAGAGAAACCCCCCCCAGGAAAACTAAATTGAGAAAGGACTGAGACGAGTTGCAGATATTTGCAATGACTTCTGCAGGAGCGGCTGTGGCTGAGTGGTTAGAGCAGTTGTCCTCCAATGTGTGAGTTGGGGGTTTGATTTCACCAGCAGTCACGTGCTGAAGTGTCCCTGGGCAAGACACTGAAACACTCATTGCCTCCGATGTGAATGTGATAAAGCTCTGATTATTCTTTGTACAGATACAGCAGAGAGCTGTATGGATGGGTAAATGAGGCACATATGTTGTAAATAGCTTTGAGTGTCTTGATAAGATCAAAAGGAGCTCTACAAGTACAGTCCATTTACCATTTACTATGTGGAGAGAAAATGCATCTTGCAAATCTTTTGAACATGTCAAAATTTTCTGACACAAGAACAACTAACAACAAAATTGGGAACCCTTGTGGACGTTTTAAAACATTTTTGAAAAATTCCTCGCAAACGTTCTTTTTCTACTGGTCTTTCCCTCCTCAGGGGTCACTCCGGCGAGTCATCCTCCTCCATCTCAAGAAAAATCCCTCGCAAATGCTGCTCCTAATTTGACGTGAACAATCGCACTTCAGTGAGTGACACAGATTTGGAGCCGCCTACAACATCTTCTTCTAGTCTGTGATTTCTGTACGGATTGACGCAGCATAAAGGGAGAGGTGTTGAAGTCAACCTGCTGCTGTTATGCCAATGGAGGTAGTGACAGAGCTGTAACTATATATATATATAAAAGGGTGAGCTGGCATCATAGCTCAGTGTGATGTAGTGATGGCACGCGACCAGCAGACTTCTTCCTCTTCATACCTCCTATGGTTCTGCAGAGCTGACTTCATGTATGAAAGCTCGAATCAGCTCAGTCTAAAGAGGGGCTCGTCATATAGGCGTGAATTAAAAGCTTCGCAACAAGCATCAACATACGTTAAAACTAAACACGAGAGGTTTAGAAACAGTAAAAACGTGCTTCAGTCTCAGTGATTTAAACATGAATTAAAACATCAGAACGCCGTGGCGTGGACCGACCTGCGCATTGTGTGTGATGACATCAGCCTGCTGGGCGCTGAGGTCAGACAGGACGTCTGTGGGTTCCCTCTCACAGGGGTCATGAACTCCTGGACCACCTGTGATAAAAACACGTCAGCGTTTCCACAGAAGTTTACACAATAAACCATAAATAATCCACTAACTTCAACTGTTTAAAGGCTTGTTGTATCTTCACGTGAAGCAAACACTCGTAAATGTTTCGGTGCTGAAGGAAAAACCTCCAATAGGCATTGAAAACCCAGTCACGTCATCACAGGGACTAACTAGCTGCTCCACGCTGATCAAAGAGCAGCTCAGATTTCCCAGATGGAGGATCAGAAAACGAGAACAGTGGTGGGAAAAAAAAAAAAAAACATCTGAGGACATCTCAGTTTATTGGAGCCAAACTGAAAAACATTCAAGCTTTTGGACCGGTACAGAATAAAAATGAGCTCTCTGTGTTAAATGGTTCACAGGAGTTAGAAAAACAATTAATACCAACTGAGGGAAATATGAGTAAAGTGGCCTTTAAGTAAGTAAAAGTTTTTAAGGGAGATAATGTCAAAGAATGAATTGTCACAGAATTGTCATGTAATGTCACATGACATGACGAAATACTCTGAGTTTCTCCTGATTCTTTCCGAGTAAACCCTGAAATTCCAGGATATAAAGTCACAAAACACTCAGAGCAAAGCATCTTAGGTGGCGGGCAGGGTCACATTCAGAGACGACAGGAAGTAAACTGTACCTACAGTATGTGCATCCAGCAGTCACTCCTAATAATAATACTTTATAACATCAGAGACTAAAAGGCCAGCACAGCCAATCAGTAATGATGCATGGACTCTGTACGCTGAAGAAGCAGAACATGGACTTCTTGTTACTAGAATACTAGCATTATTACATGTAAAGGATAACGCCTCAGATAATACTTTAATCAGAAGATCAGTGCTCAAATACTCTAGAGTTTTCCCTGATTTCTGAGATCTTTTATCAAATTACCAGTTTTCCCCATCTGGAAAATGTGAAAGTCGTTTTCCTTGATTTCCCCGATTTCCAGAGTTGCTGGGAGCTCTGGATTCTGCTGCCTGAACCCATCTCATCACTGGGATGTTCTGGTTAGCATTTATTTTGTAATAAATTCATATAAGAACAAAATAAAAATAAAAACTGGGCCTTGTTGTCTCCCTAATCTATTTGTGATGACATCATACACAGAACTCAAACCAGTAAAAATCTTAAAAGTACCACTATGTGCTAATTTATTAATGTGTAGGATGTATGATACTCCATCAGAATGTTGTTGCTATCCATAACTGTTGTTATTATAGCAATGACAATAAAGTAAATGCTTATTTTGAAACAATAATACTTATATTTAAAAAAAAAAAAACTTCTTTATAATACAGGAACATTTTGAATTAAAAAGCACGAACTGTATAGTTGGGGTTTTGTTCATGAGTGAGGGAAGAAAGGAGCGTGAGATTGACAGACAGATTAGTGCAGCATCTGTAGTATTGTGGACTCTGTGCCGGTCTGTTGTGGTGAAGAGGGAGCTGAGCTGTAAGGCAAAGCTCTCCGTTTACTGGTCAGTCTACGTTTATACCCTCACCTATGGCCACAAGCTCTGGGTAGTGACCGAAAGAATGAGATCGTGGATACAGGAGGTTGAAATGAGTTTCCTCTGCAGGGTATCTGGACTCTCCTTTAGAGACAGGGTGATAAGTTCAGTTATCAGGAGAGACTCAGAGTAGAACCATCAGTTGAGGTGGTTTGGGCTTCTGATAAGGATGCTCCCTGGACGCCTCCCTAGGGAGGTGCTTCGGGCATGTCCGACTGGGAGGAGACCCCGGGGAAGACCCAGGACACTCTGAAGAAACTAGTCTCTTGGTTGGCCTGGGAACACCTTGGAGTTCTCCCAGAAGAGCTGGAAGAGGTGACTGTGGAAAGAGATGTCTGGACTCCAAGCTCAAACTGCTGCCCCCACGACCCAACTTTGGAACAAGCGGAAGATGATGGACGGATGTTTGGATAGATGTATGTATTGATGGATGGATGCATGCATGGATGCATGCATGGATGGATGCATGGATTGATGGCATTGTATATAGTTATGCATGCATGCATAACTATATGATATATATACAATTATAGTTATGCATGCATGCATGCATCCATGGATGTATGTATGGATGAATAGATGAATGTATGGCTGTATGGCATTGTATAGTTATAAATGCACATCTCTTGCCTCTTTGCTGCAAGATGCTCAGAGAACATGAAAGAGATGACTCTCCACTGCAGCCACATTAAAGTTTAGCTCAATCAGTTTAATTATAATCATTTCTGTGTTTGCTAATGTTGATTAGCTGTGGCCGCCATCTTGAATGGGACAATTCCAAATATTAATAAGTTGCAGGATGTACATTGAAGGCTTAGTTTGAGAGATTCATTAACATCTATTCTGATTATTGCAATATTGTGCTAATAGACAGAGACATACATCAAGCAAAGCAGTAACATGAATGTGAGTATTTTATGGAGACTGTCAATAATTAGATACCAGTTTTCACATGACGACCCTAGCTGAGAAGAAAATATGTTTTTTTTTATAATCCTGTTATTTTTACTGCAATACGATCTTGGTGAAAAAATATTTTCTGGCAGACGCATCAATTTTTGATATTAAAAAAAACCTTTTTCAATTTTAAAAGGGGTCTGTTTTATAATAAAAGTCAACATTGTTACTCTGTTTTTGTAGGAGAAGCAAGGAAAATCCCAGAGTATTAAAAATATAAATAATTTAGCCCCCGGCATCATCGGCTGGAATGGTATTTATCAGCTACATTGTTTACTTTTCTCTGCCCATAAATTCTTCATCTTTACTCACCGCATCTAAACTTTAATACCACATGAATCACATTTGATTCAAATAGTTATAACGAGGGTCATGTTTGGTAAACGAAGCCCAGAGGTCGGGGAGGGGCTGCTCACAGACCTGGTAAAAGGATTCCTGAGGCGATGCACTCCATGACGCGGCGTAGGGCTTCACCTGGACCCAATGGCCGGTTACAGGTGGCTAAGGCCTTTTCACAGATCAGCTCCAGCGGCTGCAGAGAACAAACAGAAAGACGCCGACAGTGAGCTTAGAAAAATGACTCCGTCATTTAAAAGTTGTTTTAGTGACGTTTTAAAATAAATGTGTTTGCAAAGGCTGGTATTTGCTCAACTGGATGACTGATTCTGATGCCGTCACTTACCCATCCTTTGAGAGGCTGCCACTCCGGCAGGCGGTTGCACATCTCTCTTAGAATCCTCAAAATGATGACACAGGACTTGAGATCTGTGACCCGGGCCTGAGGGAAAAGGAGGACAGAAAGGAGGGCATTTCAACAAGACGGAAAGAGTGGCGGAGCTGCAAAACCCTCCGTGGAGTGCGTGTGTTTTGACACATTCAGCCTTTGAGACGTGGGACTGAAGGCATTTTCATGACCCCTAAAATTTCAATCTGTTACTGGCACCACTGTGAACGGTGAGCTTGACTTTCATCCTGGAGCGACAGGGTGGAAATAAAACTAACACAACGCAACGCTTCTCGTTCAACCGAGGCAGTTTCAGCGTCGACTCCTGTAGCCTCAAACCCCCGGTATCATTTTAACTTTATATCTTCTTGTAAGGATATCTTATATTCTAATTTAGCCAACACAAGCCTTTCATACATTTATAAATGTCCTTTCTACATTCTGAAAGTTTTATTCAGTGAGGAAAAAAAAATCAGCTTTCTTAGATTCTTCTTCTGAGACGCATAAATATGCAACATCTCAGCTCATCTTTATTTACAAAGACCTTTATATACAACACATTTGACTAAACAGATTTAAAGCACCCACAGAGGAAAGCAAAACAAAAGCAAAACAAATTATTACCCTCCTTAACCTCACTTCTGAGACTGAAATGTTAAACAAACCAACATTTTTATAAAAGAAAAACAATTTGTTTGTAGAAGGGTTTATGGGGGCTAAACTGAGCTAAGATATTCTTTATTTTTTAAATAAATATTAAATAAATAAGAGTGGTGCAGCGGACACAAAGATGAATGAGTGTTCATCGTGAGCACTGCCTCTGGTTTAGTTTGGAGCAAATGAGCACAAGCACATCGAGTGTCAAGCATGGTGGTGGAAGGTTGATGATTTGGACTTCTTGCAGTCACTGAGCCAAACATTTATATTAAAATATTCTAAAGTTAAATGTGAGGTCTGAACTAGTCTTAGTCATGGGGCGTACTTAGTTTTTCCACACGACTCCGCTCTTGTCATTATGTCGTTAAATGATGTTTTAGTTCCCTCATTCCCCAATTTAATATGGACTACATGTACTTATAGTTCATCTCAGCACAATATCTCAAAATAATCACAGAGTGTACATTTACAACTAACTTACTTTTGGAGTTCCTAGAATTCAACATGGCTGTTGCAGTAAATCAACATTAGTGAACACAAAAATGGCTATAATTATCAGTTTTATAAATACTGAGACACATTTTGGCATGGTGGTAGCTGAGACTAATATACAATATATACTCTAATTGCTACGTACTGGTCAACATTTATTGTTTCCTCACTCGCCCTGGAGCAAGACGGATGCTTTTCTTCCCTCTCCTGCTTTTTGCTCTCCGTCCTGTGTATCGGAGCTTCTATGTACACATCTTCTGAATCGTAAATTACCGTTATGGATTTGGTCAGCTGGACTCTCAACGCAATTGATACATTTTTCAACCAAGCAACGGGGTGCTGGAGAACCTCATGCTCTGCTGTGACGCACGTGACGGGGTACGTCATGGATCTGTGGGGGGAGTGGAAGATGATGTAACTTTCTGTGTTGTCTCAGGAGGATGTCTAAGATTTAGACAGCATTGGATTGATGATAGCAGGGTTTCTGCCTTTTGGCACCAACAGATACCCATGTTATCAACTATTAAGAAATATGGCGGCAGCAGTTTCGGCCATGGCAAAGCTGCCGACCTTATGTGAAGGATTAATTTGTGCTTCTAACTCTCAGACTCAGCTGATTTACGAGCTCAAGCGTAAGATGGAAGTGATTTATGAGAATCGTAGGCCACTAGCAGCTTATGGAACTCGCCAGCATGTTGGAGTCGACCTTGGAAAAGGCTAATAAGCATGGGCCAGCAGAAAGCCCACAAATCTGGCCAATTTGGATCATCGAGAGTACCAGCAGAACTCAAGGCTGACGAGAAAAACAGTCTGCCTTCACAAAAAACAACTGTGGCTTATCTGAATCTAGCCTCCCGTTCGACCTTGAATAGGCCAACTTATCAAATTGCTCCCGGGGATATGTAAACTAAGAAGGCTTTGCTCTATCCACCCCCCACCGAGAACTTCTGTGAACGCTTATCAGAGCTGTACCGGCTGATATCAACATCTCATCAGGACTATGGTGCTATCTGGAAGTGGTTCAGGGACAAATCTCACCCTCTTGTCATCAAATGCATTTGTGACTATATAAATGTGGTGCTGGTAGATTTTTTTATGTCTTAAACCGTGTCCCGACAAGGACGAGGTGTGAAGAGATCTTTTTTTAATACCACCATCCTTTCCTCATGGTCTTTCCCCTTTTCTATCTAAAGAATAAGGGGTTGCGCTCCTAATAGTTGCAGCCACGTGCACCCCGCCCATCTTTTGGACGACTGTACAAAATATAATCTCGCTGTACTTAGGTGCAATGATAATAAAGCTTATTCTGATTCTAAACATCTTTAGCAAAAGCTGTTAGCTTAGTTAAATGCACTGACACAGAGCTAAAATGTGATGTGGTAGTAGCCGAGAGTCCTCTCAAACACATACCAGAACCACCAACAAATCTTGCAACATTGCATTAGATCGTTCATTTACAAGGTTAGACCAAAACAGTTACAACTCTGTTCCTTCACAGCTTAAGATAAATGCTGAATGAGGTTGTAATTAAATTTGCACCATGACTGTATTTATTTAACAGTGCTGCAGTAACATCACACATGAAGCTGCTGGAGAAATCCAAGATTAGCCCGTGGACATTTAGGAGGAGATGGCGATCAAAGGTAATTACGTCTGGCCATTTAAGCAAAACAAATTATCTCAGAGATTTACTGAGGCTTTAATTAGTGCTGGATGGCTGCATATAAAACTGAAAAGGAATTTCTCTCAGGTGGAACAGACACAGTGGATGAGGTAAATGTCACCGATTGTATCTCCAGTTGTTGGAAATGACTGAAGGTTTTCAGGTCCATCAGCTTCACTTTATGATGATGATGAAGTTAAATCCTGCTTCATCTTCAGGCTGCGTTGCTGCAGCTTCATTGTCAAGCTGTTTGGCATTTAGCTGCTCATCCCTAAGGGAAGCTCCACTCTGATTCACCTGACCTCCACCCTCATCTGCTTCAGAACACGCAGGACGGCAGAGCTGCAGGTCAGCAGAAACATCAGATTTCTTCATGACCTCAGGTCCAGTGGAGTTACTCTGCTCCTGTTTGACCCCAAACATACGGCGTCCTCATGCCGTGTGGTTACTGATAACACAAGATGGCAAAGACTTCTGTGTTGTGTAACAACTCAAGGTTGTGGACAATTAATGCTACGTAAGATATGTACAACCTTTAACTTATTATTATCACACTAGAATATGAAAAGTGGGTGGTTAAGCCACTGCCTCTGTCTGCATGTGTTTGTTAGCAAAATATCTTGTAAACCAGCATTTACTCAGAGCGCTAACTGACTGCAGTCTTTGCATTTACAGTTTTAGTCAGCTCTAGTCGTCTCTTAGCAAAATATCGCATGAACCAACGGAGTTTAATGAAAGTTTAAAAAGTAGTAACTGGATGTACATGTACATCTAATTAATTAAACCAATTAGGGAACACAAAAACAAATTTAACTCGGCCATTTTTTGCATCTTTTGAACTAAAGTTTGGTGTGGCAGTAGCTGTACGACGACAAACGTGCATTGCTTCATGATATACACATTTAATTTATGTCTATTTAGAAATAAATCAAACGTAAACAGTACTGTCACATGTTTTAAGTCAAAAGGTTGTTCTATCTCCCAAACTAACTTAAGCTGTCAAAACATTTCTACTTACAGCTGTAAAAAAACACGAGTCAGCAGTCATGTTTAACACCCACTCAGGAACCATTTAACAGTAAACTGGCCGATATAATCCAGGCTCCTGATAAGAATCAAAGATTCATCTGGGAGAGCTTACTATAAATAGAAATAAAGAACCAAAGACCTGCAGGAGTCAGTTTCAGGTGTAGCTGGTTGGAATTAGCATCAGTCAGGGTTTCATATCTTGCAACAACACGACTGCCTCCTCGTTTCTCTGCCTGAAACGAGGCCCCGCTTCATTAAAACTGTGTTTCTATTATGCTAATAACCCTCACAACCTGGATGCCATCATGTTTTCCTGAAATCATTTTTGCTGCTGAACAGAACATGAATGTAAATTTCCAGAGACGTGTTTTGAGACCAGCTGCCAGAGTAAAATAAAGACACCGTGAGTGAATTTGTCAGCAGCCCAGCTGTGCTCACCTGGAACCACTTGGCGTGTCGGAGCGCAGCCAGTGCAGCCTGGCACTTCTGTCTGTCTAGGGCATCTTCCTCCTCCTTCTCCTCCTCCACCTCCTTTCTATCGTTCTCCTCCTTCTCCTCATCGCCATCCTGATCGCCCTCCTCTGGACAAACAAACGGGATGAGATGAGATGAGACCTCCGACATTTGATCGCCAACATTCCAGCGCGGTCGGACAGCTAATTATTAGGCAAACCCACTGATCTGACTGAATGAGCTAGGAAGGGGGTGAAATTTGAGAGGTCACGTGACTTGATTTGTTTTTCTGGGATAATTCATGCACAAGGTAGGATCTTTTGTAACATTGACAGGAACCCAAGTAGATGTGAGAACATGCGTCTTGCTGCCAGCCGGAGCCTCGCTCAGGATGCAGATCAGTGGCTGAAGGAACACGGCAGATTAGTGTGTTATCAATTACTGCACAAGACGAGAATGAAGAGCATGGCTCAAATTCAAAATCTCTCTTTTTTTTTGCAAATGGTAAAGATTTGAGTTTAAACATTTAACATGCTCCACTGTGGAAACATTATGGGCGTTTCAAATCATTGCATTTTGTTTTTATTAAGATTATATACAACATCCTAACTTTTTTTAGCCAGAATAACTGGCTCAGACACGCTTGAGAACGGGGAACATCAGCGTTCAGTAGCTAAACACTTGTTATTCCGCTTGAGGTGGAAACCAATCATCCCGCTCTGCAGTTTTCTGAAGCGCCATGCCAGCATTTTCACTCTTGTGGGGTTGGTCAGATGTTTATGTTTGAAAAAGCCTCTCCACACCGGGTTCCTGTGGGGAGCGCTCCTGCCATGACCGGAGGCCAAGCCATGGGAGGACGACGGCAGTGGAAGAAGAGGAGTGACAGCAGATGACAACATAAACATCTGAGAGTGAGAACGCCACCCTGGAATGAAAGTGAAGGCTGTTTGTTCTCAGGAGCAGACACACAAAAAGGAGAACAGACTGCGGACCACCGCAATGACATTTAGTTTGAAACTCTGCCTTCTTTCGTTTCAAATATTACTTCATAATCAATGTCCTTTAGAGCCATTATGGCTTTAAAGACCTGTCTCAAATGAGCACAGATTGAAACAGGATCTTTCCTGCTGTAGTTGAGTATCGAGAAAATGAATGACTCAGATTCCAGTTTATCTGTCGTCTTTAAATTCCAGTTTATCTGCCGACCTGCAACAGATCTGCAGGGGAGTGAGTGGAGCGTGTGGTTTGGCAGTTTGTTTCTGAACAGACAGAAGTGGAAAAAGGATGGAGGAAGTGGAGGACAAGCAAAAGAAACCAATGAGAGACGTAGGTTTTATCCCGAATTATTCCTTAAAGAGACTGAAGACCCTCATGGTCTGCCTCTGGACCGCTGCTGTACTCGGTACCTCTCTGACACTTCAACACAATTTATTCATTATGGCTGTACGCCAAAAACAAACGAGAAGGAAGACATTAGTATTTCAGCCTTTATCTTTAGATACTTGCATCTAGACCTGTTACTAATTTAAAACAGTGGTTCTCAATTTTTCAGCCTTTGATTCACAAAATAAAGTTACAGAGACTGGCGACCCAGACTAAGACCTGGTTGAAATATTCAAAAAAATTTTATTCAACCATTCCACGATTTATTCATTTAGTTTTATCTATTGATGCCTGCTGTTTTAATCTTGTTTTAACAGTTAGGGCTAAATAAGCTACTGGAAATCATTTTCAAAGGTATTACAATTTCTGTAAGTCTTCTCAAGAGCTCCCTCCAGGTGGTTCTCGACTCGCTGGGTGTCCCGATCCTGACTTTAGGAACCACTGGCTAAAAAGACAGCAGTGTTCATAATAGAACATATAGTATTATACTATTTTAGACTTGGAAAATTATGAGAACAAAAGAAGATGGCCAGCTAAAAGCTAGGAGTAGGAAAATGCTAGCTAATAGCTAAAAATAAGGTACCAGTATGTAAATGTTAAAAACAGTTAAACGCTAAATAAAAAGATGATGAAGATAGGCAGAAGCTACATGTGTCAAAAGGCTGGCTATAATTTAAAAGTAGCAAATGGCAGTATAAAAGCTGAAAGTAGAATTGTAGCTAAAATCCAAAGTAGCTAAAGGCTAGCTAAAAGTTGCATAAGACAAAAATTTAGCTCATTCACCAAAGCAGATTTCAAAGAGAACAATGTTTAAAAAAATTAAACTAGATCTCAATGCATTTCTTTGGGAAAATATTAGTTTTTTTCATAACTTTTATACCTTTTAAAATATTTAACATTATTTTAAAAAGTGCTGATTTTTTAATTTTTTATAAACGAATGGTTGAAATAGCTATTTTAGCACAATATATACAGAGGTAGACAACAAAACGTACAAATAAACGAATAAATAAATAAATAAAACTGACTAAACAGTCTCACAGTAACAAATATTGGAAAAAACATGTCCCACAATGTATTAAAAAAACTGAATTTTAATTCAGTTTCACTATAACGTTAAATTAAGTTCATATTTAGGCTTTATTTACACGTTTACCGTCAGCTCACTGTGGTTTTATTAGCGAGATGCAGCTACACAGCAGGTTTTCAGAGGCGGACCATGAAGGAACCGTTACGGTCGAGACCACGTACGGATCAGGACAACCACCACTAAATTCTCCTCAACACCATCAGCTTAAGGGATCTTTGATTAGAGACCAGGAGATCCAGTTTATTTAATTAACACTTCTGTTGCCACATGAAATTATGGGATGTCCCTCTGAGCCAACAGAAATCACCCGTCCCCAATAATTAAAGCACAAAGATGCTAAATCAAGGGCTGCTGGGAAATGTAGTCACTTTGTAGTTTGAGGCTGTGCGCTCAGTGGGGAGACATGGACCAGAATTTCACGGTGACCCAGACAGGAAAGAAAAACAGGAGGGGTGAGGAGTTTTTCTGAGGCAGAAAGAAAGTGGCTTGGTTGGATAGAGTGGATGTTGCTGTTGGGGAAGCCCCTTGTACCCGGGGTTTCCTGCTGCTTGGTTGGGGGGGCGCCTCGTCAGCAGCGGGTCTGATGAGAAGTTTAGGTCTACTTGGCGAGCCGACCTGCGGAGCTATGGCAACAAAATTAACAGTCAGTGAGCAGAGGTCGTCTACGGGAGCAGCACCATAAAAACTGAGAGCCAGCGGGACTAGTTAGAGGGTTAATGGTCTGTCAGCTGGAAAAAACAAACACACGGGTGAATCACCGAGGAACCCTCGTGATGCAACACCCAGTTAGATCCAGTTTGAGAATGGATAGTCTATTAACATAAGAATGTGTTGTTCTGTATAAAACTTCTGATCAATTAGTCCAATCTTCCACCTTAAATGAAATGCGAAATCAATTACGTAGGGATAGATTGATCAAACTTAAAAATATAAATATATTGTTTAACAAATAATTTACTTTAGGAGCGAACCAAATTAAAGATGGCTACCAAATCCAACTGACCTTAGAGAACACAAAGATGGCTACAACTCCCATTTTTAGGGATGCACGATATTGGATTTTTGGCTGATATGTTAAAACTAATTTGGCCGATAACCGATACTGATATTTTTAAATATATGTTCCTTTGTCAGAACATAAGTCCTCTTATTTAGGCTTATTTGCTACAAAAATTGTGTAACAGCTGTAAGAGCTGGTGACATATATTCAGTAACAGCCATATGCATAGCACTTCAACTTATATTAAATGAAAAGTGTTACATTTTATTTATTAGCATTAGTCACCTGCGACGCTGTCTCACTTGCAGAGGCTTGTTCCAGGTTCCTATAGCTGCAGTGTGGGATCCTCTGCACTCCTGTGCACGAAGGACAGACTTTTTAAGATCAAAGTTTTTGTCTATCCATTGTGCCGTAAGACTAATCATGCTAACGGGGCTAACACGACGTTCAAATATCTGTGGTAAAACTCACCCAAGTGCTATCGGCTATTAGCTTCTCAATGACGTCGGAAATGACGGCTTGTAACTGGTAAGGCTATGTCGGAAAAATATCTCTGACTGGGGACGATGTAACGAGGCTCAACCTAGTCCAAAACTCTTTGGAATCTGGCATCCTCAACGAAAAAAACTTACACACCGCCGACATTTTGACTTCTTCCTCTCCGCCGTGATCAGATCAGGTAGGAGAGTATGACGTCATCACGTTGTGCTGGCGCTGCAGGCGTCCTCGTCACTGGGTTGTTAAAACAGCGTCTTTTATATCGGTGAGTTATTTTGATGGAATGTCCGATATTTAACTTTAATGCCAATATCGTCCGATACCGATTCTTTTGCTGATAATATCGTGCATCCCTAACTATTTTATAACAATTGAGCTCAAATTATTCACATTCTTTTCAAAGTTTGTCCAAAATGGCTTCAACTCTATTTCTCAGCACAGGGTGATCTGAGTTTCAAACTCTCATGAAAGGTGGTGGGAGATCAGCATTCCTTCAAGACTTTTAGTTGTCAGATGTGTCTATGGCATGCTGAAGTATATTTACAAGTTACAGAGACTCTTATTGACATTTACACTACATTTGTTGTAAATCGTTAATATCTTGTGTATTGGTCATTTGTCACAACTTTGGGTCATGACTACAAAGTCTCAGTCTCCTTCAGGCATGCTTTTGTACGACGTGAAGTTTTTGTAAGGGAGGTTTCAGATAATCTTGTCTAAAAATGCTCGACTTTTACAAAGATGTGGTTTTATATGCAGAAGTTGTCACTTTAAAATCTCTATTGGAGTTGTTGGATTTCTGCCATCAGAAGTGGAAATAAGTCACAGAACGTGGAAATTTAGATAATTTTAGCTAGAAGTTTAGTTAATGTTTGTATTAAACTATGTTTAAAATCCCTGCTGACACTTCTGGAATAACCTTTTAATTTCAAGCTCATTACTCCTCATCATAACAGTTTTCTGATTACAACTTAGATCTGAAATGCAAAAATGAATGTCCATTTGCAAATAAGCACTGAAAAGGCAAAATAAAAACTAAATCCTAGTCTCTACAATGACATCAAAAGTAGTCCATCCAGTTTTGTTGACCTTGTACTGCACCTTTTAATCAGTCCAGACATCATTTATTCAATGTTCGTGTATTTCTCAAAGCAGAAGACGTAAAATGACAGCAATAAAATGTATATCAAAGCTCTTCCGGTGTGCTAATCCTGCAGTCTAAAACGTCATTAAGAAACAGAAGTAGATTGGAAATATTAAAGTGAAGATAAAATCAGGCAGAGAATAAAAAACTTGCAGATAAAAGTGCACATCAGCTGCAAACTGTCAATAAGACTTCCTGATCTGATAGAGCTGTCGTTCCTGACACCTGAATGTGAGCAAATTAAATTTTTAATCATCGAGGCTTGACTTCTGTTTCACATAAACTCCAGCTGAGAACAAAAACCGATCCTCTCCTCGCTTCATTTTTATTTTCACTCACTTGTGCAGGAAGCACGGACAGATACAGTTCTGGAGAGTTTGGTTTCACGTCGCCTGAATAGATTTACTTCAGATTTTCTAAATCCATTTCTAACAAAGCAAAAATTGTTCTTTATTAAAGCTGCAGTATGATTCAAGCTGCCACCTGAGACACGTTGCCTTTTTCTGTCGATGCAAACCCAACAGATCCCCTGCAGAACCCACCCCCTGCCTGTCCATCTGTTATTTCCACTACACTTGACCCAGATCCGTATCACCCCCCTCTCCTCTTCCCTGGATCACTTCTCAGCTTTCAGGCCTCTTCATGTTTCATCCTGCACAGCTTTTCCTCGTCCTTCAACCCATTCAGAGCTCGGCTTTACTTTACATTCTGGGATATTTCTCTCATTCTGCTGCATAAAACATAAACAGAGAAGGGTTGGTGTAAATACCGTCTCCGGTGCCGTGTTCTTCGCTCATGGCTAAAGAGGAGAGGGTGATCTTCAGCGAGAGCTGGGGGTCTTTGGTGCTGCAGACCTGGATCGCTGCCTCGGGAACGCACGACCTCACTTCATATTTCTCGTCTGTCATCGTCTGCGAAGCAGAGCGGCACGGTTAATTAAAAACTGAGCACTGCAGCTGCAAAAAAACAAGGCGCTACCTTCAAACAAACACTAAGTAAATAAAGATTAGCCTTTTTTTGTGTGTTTGTGTGTAAATAAGAAGAGAGGACTGTCCAGGATTCATGTTCAATCAAGTTCAAAACAGCATTTAGTGACTTACGGTCGTGATAATGTCATTAAAGAATTTTTTCTCTACGGCAGTATTTGTTTACTATTTACATTTGAAGTATTTCATGTAGTATTGCATGTTTTACTAAAATAAGATTACAAAACCGTTACCCACTTATGGTCTACACAGCAATTACTATTTCATAAACAATGTGTCCTTTAACTTGTTGCTCAGTTTAAAAATAAAACATTTTAAATAATACACCAAAATGTGGGGCTCTATCAGGACTCTAGATGCAGGAAGAGGGCCACCTGCATCATGAAGGACCTCACTCACCCAGCACACACACTTTTTGCCCTGTTCCCCTCAGGCAGGAGGTTGAGGAGCATTAAGTGTAGAACCACTAGACTGAGGAACAGTTTATACCCTGAGGCTGTTAGACTCATGAATCTCTAATCAGGATAATCATTTAAAAATAAAAAATAAAAATCACTGTAATGCCACTTGATGTGCTGCTGACTATCCATGCTGCTGATTTATTTCATGCTGCTGATTTATTTCATGCTGCTGTGTTCACTTGTACTACATCTGCTCACACACACATGTTCGTGCTGCTGTTCGGCATATTGTTTTTGTACTTGGTGCTTAGCGTATTCTTAGTTTAGCACATTTCTTAGTTCATATCTTAGATCTCATTACTGTTTTTCTTTACAATTTATACCTTTTGTTGGATGTAACTGGGACCCAGTGTACACAGTTTCATTCCACCACATGTACCACATGTGGTGGAATGACAATAAAGAAACCTTGACCTTGAAAGGATAGAAACCCGGCCCTCTTTGGGGCTCTGCAGCTCGGACAGACTTCACAGAAGAAACAATTCAAAGTTCAAACGGGTCACAGGAAACTGGATTACAGGTATCTGAACTGGAATTCTGATGTTACTGGTTTTTACACAACCGCAATTTGTTTCATGTTTTTTTTTTTTTTTACACCCCCCCCATGAAATGTTCAACTGATGGTTGTGACAAATTTTGTAATCAACATTGAAATTTAAGGCAGCAGCTACATTGACACGTCAACATTTATTTACAACATTGTTGAACGCCGAGTCAGCGTTTACACTATGGTTTAACTGGTTAAAGTTTTGTCTTTGCAATTAAACTACTTTTGCATACTCTGTGCTAGTTTAATTATTCATATATCACAATGTTTGGCTTGACTGGGAACCGTGCGCTTTGACTAATTATTTATAATGTAGACCTTTTAATTATTTAATTTTCTTTACAAAATATTTCCAATGAAAAGACATTCAAATCTCCATTTGATCTAAAAAAAATTACTTTAGCATACTATTACTTTTTTTGTAATTTTATGATTCTTTTAGCTTTGAGTTAGTTTTGCTAATTTTAGCTACTAATTAAATAATGTTATCATTAAGCTAAGATGTAGCTCATTTTAGCTTGTAGCTACAGTTTTGCTAATTTTTACCTTTTGAGTTTGCTCACTTTAGCTTTTAGCTGATCTTCTGTTAGATTTTTTTTAGCTGATTTTCTAATTTTACTTCTGTTCTGCTTTAACCTTTAACGAGCCCATGACATGCATTTAAAAAAACTTCATATTTATCCAACATAGTTTTGCCCATTTTGTCAAAACTGGCTTTTTTTTTTTTTACCTGGTATTGCCGAAGTGAAACAGGAAGTGACATAAAAGGGGAACTCCCTGGTCTTTATTTGTCAAAAGTCTGACTCTTCTTTGATAGTGACTCAGAATAATCTACACATCAGATTCTTCTCTACTGTTCGTGTTGTCAGCCATTGTAGCAACGCTCTGTTTACATGCAGGCGTTCCCCTTCGTCATCACTTCCTGTTACTGCGCATGCAAATATCTCATCAACTGTTTATCTCGGCGGGGTGAATTTGTTTTTGCAATACATTAATAATGTTGTGTTTCCAATAATGCAGTCATATTTATCATGAAAATTTGACATCACGAGCATTTTAATGACTCGGTTTCAGTTTCGGCAGTCATTCAGGACTTGGCATTCACATTTAACAGAAAATGCACATTTTTTTTATAATTTCATCTGTTTGTATTAAATGACAGTGTTGGTCAACCTGCTGTGGTGAAGGAGACCAAATTAGGTAAACCTGTTTGTTTTGTCAACATTAAAACAACAGCAGCAGTAAATGTGTTTGGATGAAGCTTTCTTCCATGCTTTCACTCCGGTCGTTCTTGCCAGAGGATTTCTAGTGTGCCCGACTCTCTTGTTTTTCCTCAGGATAACAAATGCCTTATGTGGCATGTTTTCCACTACGTTCTCTATCTGTTCTCTGTGAGAGATGTCCCCATTCATCACCCCACTGCTTGTCAATCTCCAGCATGGTGGAGGAAATGAGAGCTTCAGCTGGTTTCCTCCCTTGATGATGAAGCATGGACGGCAGCTGTGGTGAGTAATTAACTGGGATCTGGGCACAGGAAGCACGTTTAGCTCTTTAACGGCAATGCTGCTTTGTTAGTTATCGCTTGTTGTAGAGGAGATGGGGAAACTCCTGAGACCTGAATGAAAGGTGGAGATCCTCTAATGAAATTATCTGCTCGACTGCTCAGATTTGGAGTTGGGATGTAAGGACTCGGCAGGCTCTAGGGGTTCCTGGGATGTACAAAGTCCATTTGAATACAAACAAAACAAAACTCAGGAGCGAGCCCTTGTGGGCCAATAGATGGGGGCAGAAATAGTCTCACCATCTGGGCTTTCATCTCAAGGAAACGGAATGGTGAAGCTAAATTAATGTGGTCCTTTCTCAGATCATATCCACTTCAAACCATCTCCTCTGCATCTTTCATCGACTAAAAATAATTATTTTTATCTGGTTTCAGAGTAAAAACATCTTGGCATCACAAATGTCTTTGTTGTATTCCAGGAACCAATTACATCTTTTTTTAATGCCATTAATAATTTAAAAAGGCTCCTCTGCCATGCTTTTCAGGACTAAAATAATAAAAATGAATAAAGGACCAGGAAAACAATTTGCAGTTTATTTTTTGTGTTAAATATTTTATGTGATTTATGTACTCAAACCAATTTTAATGAAGCGCTGATCTTATAAAACACCCCACAGAGATAATCTTTAAGGATTAACAGAAGGTTGCGTAACAGTGTGACTTTGCTCCGTGTCAGGCTACGTCACGGATATTTTGTGTTTTTACTCAGAGCTGCACTCAGATGCAGAAAATAAAACACGGTCGTGCATAAAGATCGAGGGAAAACAGCATCTTCCAGAAAAATCCCAGCCGGTTTGAGAGTTAGACTCTACTCTTGATTATACCAGAAAAGGTCCAGCTTGCTCGTTTTTCCTGAAAGAAACCAAAACCAGAACTTTCCTCCATCCTGCTGGACGTGTTAAGTGATCCAGCTCGGGTCCATCCATCTGCTCCACAGTCACTGTCAGTCCATCTGTCCTGAAAACCTTTGTGAAGTCTCTTCAGCAGCAGCCATGCTTCAACCTTCTTCTTTCTGCTCAGGCCTTTATAAAATTCACCTCCTTATTTTGAACCACCCCAGGCTGGTTCAGTTCTGAAACGTGCTGGTTTTTGTAAAATAATCTCTTTAATCCAGTAGCTCACCGGGTGCAGACTGTTGTGACAAATGGCAAAAGACTTTCATGAAGGCGTTTCCAAAACGTCTTCACTTTGAACAAGAAAATGTTCAGTTCAATTGGGAATTAGGATTTCTTTGTGCCTTCATTGTGTCATTTCAGCAAACTTACTTTTTTTGTCTTTATGTTCCATTTAGCTTTTATTTATCGTTTTGTAATTTCAGCTTTTAGCTACTGTTTAGCTTTTTTATACTAATATGCTAATTTTATCTTTAGCTAGCTTTTGACCCTTTTATTGTGTAGCACCATTAAAGCTAATTGTATCTTTTAGCTACAGTGCTAGTTTTAGTTTAACTACAGCTTTGCTAATTTTAGCTTTTAGTCCCAGGTTTTCTAATTATAGCTTTTTGATACAATTTTTCAAACTGTGGCTTTTTAGTCAGTTTGGCCAAGTATAGCAAGTAGGTGAAGTTTGGCTCATTTTAGCTTGCAGTTTTTATTTTGTTTGACTTTTAGTTACTGTTTTACACATTAAACTTTTCTCTGTTCTACTCGGTTTAGCCTGTGTTCTGATTATTGGGGCATTGGTTTTGATTGTTTCAGCTTTCATTCTCTTTGTCATAATTTCTGTTGTGCTTGTTTAAATGTGAAAACTCCAGTTTCAGCGTCCTACATCATTTTCAGCAATGTGTGTGTCAACATTCACGCTGCATTTTCTATAAAAAGGCAATTTATTCTAATTGTTTTTCTTGCCATCAGGGCGTCAATTTATCTCTTCTCCAACATCACAGGAAAACTGCTTTGACCCAAAATAAAGAACTTTTTGCAGCTCTCTGAAGATGAAGTTTGGTTGACAGAAACGTTTCTGTAGTTTTTAAGTTCAAGTAGTGAAATGCATCATGTCAGAGGTGTGGCTGAGCTCACCTGGATCTGCAGGGGGAGGTTGGCGCTGATGGTGTACAGCAGCAGCTTGGTGGGTTTCTCTCTGCACATCAGCACCAGCTCCAGGTTCATGTCGTGTTTGATCAGCAGGCCTTTGGCCACCAGGCCAACACGCGTCACCCCGCACAGCACCGATGTACCGTCACACCTGAGGACAGATGGAGGACAGCCAGCGTTGGATTATCGCTGAGCCACACAGGGTGATCTCACACGAACACACACACTGCAGCTAGAGAACAAGCACTGAGCTGCTGAACAAGTTTAACTATGCATCAGCAGCATTTAACAAAGAGACAAACTTCATAAATGAATAAAGTGGTGCTGTAGAGAACATAAACATCAGACCTCTTTATTTTAAACACACTGAAATAAATAAAGATCTACATTTATTTAAGTGCTGATACATTAAAAAGACAAGAAAATTAGTTTTTACTCTGCCTCAGCAGCATCTTCCTCCTCATTTTTGCCCTCAACATCATCACTGGTGGATGTCTTCCCCGAGGACGTTTTGAGGCCATCCATCCAATCAGAGACCTTCTTCAGGGCTCCCTCCACTGTGGACACCAGCGTCTGGACGGCCTCCAGCTCCTCTGGGGCCGGATAAACGCTGGCATGTTTGGCCATGACATGGCGGTCGTCATTCGCAAACGATCGAAACAACCTCTGATGGTGGAGAAGGAGACAAAGAAAACATTTCAGTTTCAGATTTTACTTTAGCCAAAGGTGGAGGAAACCACACTGTGTGAGGAGGCAGAGAGTTGGAGAAGAGTTCAGGAACAAGGAAGGAAAAATGTCAAAGGACCAACATGTTGCCATTTGGATAACTGATGTTTAAACCTTTAAGGCCCTCCCTACCAATAAATTGTTATAAAATCATCAATGTTCTGTGTATCAGAATCAGAATAAACTTTATTGGAATTGCACCGAGGTACAACGCGAATATGTACGTACAGTCGTCCGAAAGATGGGCGGAGTGCACGAAGCTGCAACTAGAGGAGAGCGCGGCCATTTTATCCTTATCAGATAATAATCTTAGATAGGAAAAGGGGGAGAAACATGAGGGTATTGGTATTACAAAAAAAGATCTTTCACATCTTGTCCATCAGGACACGATTTGAGACATCAAAAAACTCTACCAGCAGCTCAATTAAAACATGATCACATTTGCATTTGACATCGAGGTGTTGAGATTTGTCCATGAGATTTTTTTTCCAGATCAGCCACAGTTTCTGAGGATGTTGTTTTCAGCCAGCAGTTCTGATAAGCTTGCACAGAAACTTCTCGGGGGGTGGGGGAGCGATAGATTAAGCTTTTGTCCTTGGGTACTCATGTCCCAGGAGAAATATGATAGTCAGCCCGTCTCCGAGGCCGTTGGGAGTCAGATTAGATAAGCTTAATTTTGGTTTTTCTTCAGGCAGACAAATTTTTTTCTTCAGCCTTGAGTCCAACTGGGCACTGTATGTGTTGCTAGTCAGTGCAACACACTATATTTTAGGGTACTGTAGTATCTCACTGGTCTGCAACTGCTGGTGAGTGGTTGGCGAACAACATTCATGAAGGAATCTCCAGAATGACTCGCAATGTTCATGGTGGTTCCCAATTTCCTTGTGTGAGAGGCAGAAGTGTGCAGTCCCATCGCTCGAGTTTAGAACATGCTCAATTAAATTGTGCAACAAAATTTCCCAAATTAAAGTCATGGTCGGCATCTTCAACTCATCTTAGAGCTTACATAGAGCTGTAATTTGACTCCTGCATAAGACATCAGAGGTCAGTGTTCGGGTGTAAAATCCAGGCAATTGATAAATAATTTAAAAACTGGTCTAAATCTGCATATCTTTATTTCAAAGTGTACTCCAGCAAAGTAAACACTAAGGTGGTGGTGGCTGCCAAAGTAAACCGAGGTGGGCAAGATGTGTGCAGCATAATAATGCGTAGCCAATAACGCAGTTTTATGATCCGTGCACGTGGAAAAAGGGGGTCAATTTTAAAAACTGGTCGCCCAAAATGCAGACACAGTTTGATGGTGACTTGGTCGAAAACAATGAATTCACTGAGACTAAACAGGAAAATTCACAATTTTTCTGTCATTTGTTTCATCAACCAGTCTCCAACAGTTGCAGCCCAGTGAGATACCACCTTAAATGATAAATGAAAACTTGCCCATCTAACATCTTTATTGGGGGAAATGTTAGCATTATTTTGGCATGTGACTGGATGAACCCTCTTTCTATCAGTTTATTAACACAAGTGAGCCTGAGCCAACCAGCTCAACAAAGGACTAAAAGAAGAATCAGTTAAGAAATCAAACTTTTGATGAAGTGTTCAGAACAAATGTTAAAATCTTCTCCAGTTCTGCTGTTAGCATCTCCATGATCAACTGTGGCTGTCATCAAAATAGTATGTCCGTTTTGACTAAACGTTCAGCCTTCAAGCATTACAGGATGGATTCTTGCCTGATAACTAACAATTCTCATAAAAACCCAACTGACTCTTAAGTTAAATTAAAATCAGATATGGTACAAGTGATTGCACCGTTAGCATTCATTTGTCCCAGCTCTGATTAAATACTGCAAACATAAATCTACAGTGCGCTGATTAAAGCCAAAGCTGCTCCAGTTTTTAAAGCAGCTCACTGAGGATCATCAAAACATCAATTCAGTATTATATCATTAATCTTCTGGTACTTTCTTTTTATTAATTTAGAAGATTTGTATTGGTTTTATGAATGAATGGCATAAACCAGAGGAAGAAAGTCTGTAAAGGACACGCTCAGACGTTGACAGACTTAGTTTGAGATTCAGTGATTTCACATTCATCTGCAGAACCCAGCTGGGTGCCACATTTTAAAGGTCATCGGTAGAGAATGATAAGAAAAGTGGTTTTGTGGTTTAAAGGGGGTCTGAATTATCGTTATTCATGAAAAAACAGATCATCAAAGCAACATTTCCTCTGGCTAATTACACAGAAGAAAGGCTCAACTTGCTAAGAGAAGCTGACCAAAACATCAGTCAACATTAAAGGCAAAGCAGCCTGTCTGCTGTGCCAGATTTTTTATCTTATTTTATTTTTTTTATGTTAAGAAAGGACAAAGGTATATCCGTTTAGGTCAAACCAAGCGTCTCAAGATTGTGTTGTGATCGACTCTCGGCTCCTGCCACGTCAGATTTTAACTCGAAATCTGCAAAACTGATTAAGTTTAGCCATTTGTGTTTTATTTTTTCGGAAAAAAAAAAAAAGAGCAAGTGGCCACCAGGGCACTAATAATCAATTGTTAGGCTGATGGTCCTCCTTTTGCATGTGAACAACTAGTTGGGGATGTCACCAGCAAACTGGTTGATCCACTATGAGAAGGTGCTGCTTATAAGATGTTTCACCATAGAAGAATCCGTCCAGAGGACCTGACTCAACCTTGTTAGATTTATCTAGCTGGATTATTGAGCAGCAGCAGGATATTTCTGGGAACTTTTATCAACTCGGTCCAGAGGTTTGAGGTATTCTGAACAACAGACACGATGATACAAACAAAAACAGCATCACACACCTTTAAAATAAAAAAAAGTGCTCTATTTAAATGTGAGCCCACTGATTTTAAATCAACCTTGTTTCCCTGCATTTAGTGTTAAATACTCGTCACTCAGAGTGACGGCGGCTCCACCTGAAGCAACCCATGCTGCTGCAGATCTGTGCGTGGCCTAGATGCAGCCTCCTGCTACCAATGGAGGCTCCGGAGCAAAAAAATGAGTGGGGTAGACAATTTCCTGGAATATTTTTTATTTTTTTTACAAATTGTGTTAAATTTTCTGTGGGGAGAAGAAAAACAACAGATACAGGTTGCTTAATATTTAATTTATTGTTGTTTTTTTTGTGTATCTACAAAGTTTTAGCCTTTTTTCTCCCTTCTGAGTCGAGGTTGTGACTCGTGAAACACAATCCTGTCTAATAAATCAGAGAAACGAACGCCTCCCACACTCTGCCAACAGGTGCACGTTCTGAATTGGGTTTCTAGTTTGAATTGAAGTAATGTTTTCTCAAATACTCCAGATTAGTAAATTTCTTTCGGCTGCTTTCTTCTTCAGGGGGCACCACAGTGAGCGAACTCGCATGAAAGATTTGGCAATCGTTTTAAACCAGATAATCTTCCTGACACAACCTGGCCTTGAACCCGAAACCTCAGGATTGCACGACCTCAGCACTGACCGCCAAGCTACCGCAGCTCCAAATAATACTCCAGATGAACACGGTTAAATGGGAGGAAAAACTTCAGTGAAGTAACTCTAAAATAATATAAAAGTGAAAAAGATACAATATATCATCACCAAATCAAATAAAAGATTCAAGTGGGGATTGAAGCAAAGCTGTGGAACAGTTTGCCCCTGCAGCTTCGTTTTGCTGACTGTGGAGGTTTTTAAAAAGCAACTGAACACACTTTTACTTCCCCAGGCTTTCATGTCATGATTGTATTGTCCTTCTTATGCTTGTTTTATCCTTTGTATAATTTAACGTTGATTTTTATTGTTCAGCACTTTGTGATTTTATGTCTGTGAAAAGCGCTCTGTAAATAAGCTTTACTTACTTGAACCCACACGCAGACACACAAATGATAGAGAATTGTTCAAATAAGGTGCATGTTGGCAGAAATTTCCTGTTCTTCGACTTTCCTCTCTTCTTCTCAGTTTTCTGTTCTGGTCCGTTCTGTCGGCTGGATTTAAAATCAGCATATCTACACTGTTGGTCTCAGCAGGTTTCGCTGCTGCTAGTTTGAACTCAGGTCTAGGTACAGGCCGTATGAATATGCTAAAACCAGCTGAATGTGTCCACAGGGCAGAAAATCAGATGCCCCAAAAGAACCTCTATTGGACCTGCCTGGTCAGATCACTGGCCGCACATTCGGATCCATTTCAAGAACGTGGGTTGTTGAACAGTACCGTCCTATAACGGTAAGTAAACAAAAAAAAAACCAACAACTTAGAACGAATCACTAAAAATAATTTGTGATTCCACTTATAATTGGCAATAGCTGAAAAATACAAAGAACAAAACAAACACAGCAAGCTCATTAAATGAGTAATTTACATTATTTATTAGGAGGAACTGCTTTGTGGGGTGAATGATTTATATGGACTGGTCGCCACTGCCTGTTACTCACCATTAACGTTTCTGACGTGTAATGAGGGGTGGAGCCCTCATCTCTACAGCGAGCGTTTAAAAAAGGGGACTGATGTTGAAAAATTAACTCGGATGTTGCTTTTTTTCCATCCACCTGCTGAGCATCACAACGGGCTTTTAAGTCCAAGGTCAAACTGCCACCTCTCTCAATCATCCTCCCATCCTCTCCTTCTTCTCTCCTCGCCTGCAGCGTGTAGCACCCCCTCGTTACGCCGAGTTATTTATGACTGGGCTTTAATAATTCATGCCTGTGAATCCCGGGGGCTCATGCTCCATCGAGGGTCATTCATCACGACCCAGCTAATCTTTTTTTGAACTGTCGAGGGGGCGTTCGACGCTGCAAGCATGTCGGCAGCCATAACCCACAAACAAAACATTAACAAGATCTAAATGGAAGATTAAAACTTTCACAGTGTAGGTGTGGATTGTGGATCCCGGCTCCTTTTGTTTGTTCCTTTCGAGGCCGCGGGGAGTTTAGCATCACCCTGCAATTAGAAGATTATGACGCCGCCTGCTTTAATTAATTACATTCAGTTCGTCCACGGGTGACATTTGCTTTAATTTGACACACAAACCAGAAATAATTACTTTAACATTTTGTTTTCTCTGTAGAATTATTCCAGAAGATTAAAGGTGACCGTTCTTTTTTTTTTTTTTCTGGTGAGCGAGCGGAAAGACTTTAATAATCATCTTTTGAGTTCCAAAAATTTCATCAACAGTTTCAAAGTCAAACTCTTTTTCAAAAACACATCTGAGAAAAGGTCAGCCTGCAAGATTCAGTCTGAAGAGCGACGACTATTTTTATTAAATGCTTAGCATTCATTGAAAGAATGCACTTCGCCCGTGGCCTTTTGAGACAAGACTTTAAATAAAATCTTTTTTTCTGACCTTGGAAAAAGCACTGCACACAATCTTAATGCGATATTGCACGAACAATCTTTTGTTTGAAAAAGAAAAAGCATTGCTGCGGTGGCCATTTTGCATTGGGTTGAATTCATACGGTAAGCAGTTGTATATACAATAATTACTTTCTGTGAAGTTTAATAAAATCCTACTTGTTCCAAGAAATTATTTTGTTGACAGACGCAATAAAAATAATATCATTATCATTCTTTCTGTGGCGAGCAATAAGATGTACACTCCCAGTAGACTCACCATGTCCAGGCGGTGTGGTGGAGGGGGGTTCTACGTGAGGACCAGAGTCCTGTCGCTCAGCCTCCTCATGCAGTCCAACTCCTCCCAGCTGTCAGCCTCTTCAGTCTCACTGCAGCGAACAAGAAAACCGATTCAGGCATAAAAATCACCAACATCACCTGCAGAAAACGTGTTTTCACATTTCCCAGAAACATTCATACGGCAGGTCGGTGCACTTGTTGCCACAGTGATATAGGTTTAGTCTTTGCATTTGTACCATTTGTTGCTTATGATGTGGGTGATCCAGGATTTAAAGCTTACTCTAAGCTGCTCTGAATAAACATCAGCTAAATGGTTCAAATGTTGCACTGCTTTAGGAGCCGAAAACATAATCCCACATGTCAAATCACTTGCCATTGTGCTTCCTGCGTCACAAATATTATTCACAGGCATTTATGTTATTGCTCTTTGTCTGCAGAGAACAAACAAAAACCCACAAAAGACTTATTTTGTTTCAGTTGACTTAAAGGAAAATTGTAGAGCCACACCTGTGGAAGTAAATATATGTCGCTAGGCTTTGAATTAAAAATACCACTGAAGTTTTAATGTGTGTTTGTATTTAATTTTTCATTGTTAAAATATATTCAGAATACATTTTTATAACCTAAAACAATCGATTGTCATGGTTTGAAATTTCTTTTATTTTCACTTCAAGCTAAAAATTCACACTATTATTTCAAAGTGGTCACATTTTCAATAGCTGTTTTTCACTTTAACTTTTCAGTGTTCAAAAAAGTGGCACAAAACCTTTCAAAATTCAAACTTAATACTTTCAGTCTCTTGAGATTCAACTGGCTAACGCTAACTCAACGGTGAGTTTAATGTTTTCATTTTTCTGTAGTTTGGTTTATGTCGTATCGAACTTGATGCGCAAAAAAAAAACATACTACAAAAAAATGAAAATATTAAACTCACCGTTGAGTTAGCGTTAGCTTCCACGACCACCTCGGAGATGCTGGTTTCCTTCAAAATCAGCGCAACAAGCGTAACGTCATGTGACAAAGAAAGCAGATGTGGGTGTTGGATTCTGACATCCTTTGCTAATGTCTGCGACCTGAAGTAACCCCGCCTTTTTTTTTTTACACTGAATTTCAGGCAGCGAAATTGAGCCAGTTGAATCTCAGGAGACTGAAAGTATTGCGTTTGAATTTTGAAAGGTTGTATTTTTTTATGTGCCAGTTGTTTTAACACTGAAAAGTTAAACTGAAAAACAGCTATTGAAAATGTGACCACTTTGAAATAATAGTGTGAATTTTTAGCTTGAAGTGAAAATAAAAGAAATTTCAAACCATGACAATCGATTGTTTTAGGTTATAAAAATGTATTCTGAATATATTTTAACAATGAAAAATTAAATACAAACATGCAACATTAAAAATAAAATGTCAGTGGCATTTTTAATTCAAATCCTAGCAACACATATTTATTTCCATACACACCGGCACTGCTATTAATCATATGTAACAGCTGAGCACTTGATTCAAACATGGCAATAATTTGCCAAAAAAACTCCACGCATCTAATTTTCACTGGAGTTCGTAACCCGGAAGTGTATTGATATTTTTGCATAAACCTGCAATGTTCTAGCGGATTCAGATTTCATTTGATGCCAATATTCAAATACTTTTGGTAAGTTTCTTAACCGGAACATTCATCTTTCTGTATGTAGTACCTTCAGAGCCTGTTCGTGTTTAATTCAGATTAAAACAAAACAAAAATGATTATTAACATGAGCTCATTTTGTTTCCAGGCCACTTTGATCTTGTTTGTGTGAAACAGTTTTAATTCTATCTGACCACAGACGCACACAAACGCATTAATTCAATTACTCTGATGATTTTCTCACCATTAAACACATTAGCTGAAGCTGCGGAAGTGGCGGTGCTGCTGTAGAACATCCCCGAGGGAACGTGTGGGGTCGAACACAACATCAATTTGAACTCTCTGGTCCCCTTGACCTTGTCCTATATGACGGCATTTCCCTGCAGTCGCTCTCTTTTTTTTACCTACACTTAGTCTTCTCTTCTAGTTACCCTTTTGTGCCTTTTAGACGCCCACTTAAATAAGTGCACAGAGTGCAACTGTGTGAAACGTAGGTCAATATGACACAATAATAAAACCGAGTTTCTGATTTCCAGATCCATTCTCAAATTTGGAACAAAGTGCATGTCCAGAAAAATAATAATTTCAAAGATTTTACAGCTGCACAGTGAGCGAGGACATGGCCACAAGTCCAGGAACGTAACAATTTGTTTCTGTTATAGGATGGAGGATGAAGATGTATTTCCTTTTTGCATCTCTGTTCTCATCTGCTTCTCATGTCTCTGGCAGGAAACAGTGACTTGACAGCCTGCCAATGATGCATTACGGAGTTGAAAAAGATGGAGGACAAAGGAAGGCGAGCTGGTTCTGAAGGAAGGCACAGTGGTAGGTGCTGGATTACTTTACAACTAAAAAGTATGAAGATAGATTTACTGAGACTTACAAAAATACTCCTTAGGCCCTACAGAGCTGTACATGGAACTTTTAGGACTACTTGTAAATTATGATCGCTACTGGATATAGCCCATTATGTATTCAGTACATTTACAGGAACCTGCAAAGTGACTGGAATATACCAGGTAACAAGTTAGTGACACGTACGTACCATAAACATACCTGCTACGTACCTGGTGAGTAACAAGTATGTGTGCACAGTAACCAACAGGTACGTAGTCAAATAACAACTGGTATGCAGTGGTGGGCACGGTTCTGCTAATCCGCTAATAGTGGAATTAACTTTCTGTTTGGGGGGTTGGCAATTTTGCTAACTTTGAAAACCTTCAGCAGAATTAGCTTTCACAACATTTAAATCAGATAAATTCAAATCTGCTAATTAAAAAAAACTAAATTCTTCTCCACACTAAAAGTGTACAGAAGAACGGTGATTCACAGAGCGATGCTATGCTATGCAGAGCCAAACAAAGCTAACTACCTGGTGATGTCACCACTCTCTCAGTGCTTTCCCCCCTCTGGTACTGTAAAAACAGTCTCTGACTCATGGTGTCAGTTTACAGCCAATACAGAATGGGCAACTATATAATGGCGCATTGCATTCTGGGTAGCGGCCGTCATGTCTTATAATGCGCAAAACACAACAGAACACAAATGGACCGTGCAAAGAGCAAGTGCAAGATTCCGTACTGTGAGAAGCTCAACAAAGATGCAAAGGAGCGCTACATTGAGAAAATGCGTGTAATCAATGGGCTTGGTCCATACGAACACCGAGTGGACAAGTGATTTGAACGAGCTACCGCCATTAACGTTTCCAGATTTGTTTAGCTACCTTGTTTGTGGAGTGAACGCCTCGACATTCGAGCAGTTCATGAATTATAAGTCTCTCGAAGCCCACCTTCAGTTTACTTTAATGGATGGGTGCAGGACCTGCAGATTTTCAGAGTCAATGACCAGAAAACCGTAGTTCTCACAAAAGTAGGTGAACCTCTTTGTGATTTAATTTATGATCATGTAAACAAAATCGCACCGCACCATTCCGTGTCCTAAACTCCCAAAATGCATTGCGTCGTTCATGTCGGCTGACGTCACGATCCCAGAATCTATAACAGATTAACATAAATACCTAACCAAACCAGAACAGGAAAATAACGTGAAAAAAAAAAAAAGAAATAAATCACACTCAAACATTGTAAACAGTCAGAAACTTTGCACATAATTCCTACACGGCATTACATACCCATTGGGTAACTGGCATGTGACAGGTCCTAGTAAGTAAGCGGTATTTTGTATTGCTAAAATCTGTGACTGACAAAATTAATATTTTATAGAATTCAAGTTCTCAAAAAATTTAGTGAAACAATGCTGTTTTGATGGAAACACAGTTTGAAGCCCACAACGTCTCCTTTTGTAAGGGAAGAATGATTGATGCATTTAATCTTGCAAGCCAATCTGTGGTCAAACAGAAGGCATATCCACATAATTAAACAAGTTTCAGAAAGTTTGAAAAAGAAAAACAATACAAAAACACACTGCAAGGACAAAAGGATTTACCATACTTTCTATGTATTCCGCTGCAGTTTCATTCAATTTCCCATGCAAGCTCATTTTCCTACAACCTTTCATCTCCCTGAAGAGGAGAGGTGATTAAAGCAAGATAATTAAGAATACAGCAATGACTTTCTAAGGACGTTAGCAGTGCTGCAGAAGTGGCAGATGGTGAGCTCAGCATGTGACAAAACGACAACGCTGATTTAAAAAGGGGCGAAAAAAACAAGCCGGAGAGTGAGAGCAGGTAGAAAATGATTTTTTTTTTTTTTCACCTTATGGATAAAAATAAACGTTCCCTTATTGCTTAGAAGACCTGCCTCTCATAGACATAAGTCAACATAGAAAGATGTAAACAAAATGCACCTATTCCCTGTGAGTCACGTTTATTTGCATATCCCTTACTCGCAGGTTCGGCCTCAAAGGGCTTCAGAACGCCCACATTATGAAACAATAAATGAAAACAACACTAAGTGAGAACAGAAAATTTTATTTTACTAACCTAAACAACAATTAACATCATTAAACTCCAGTCAGAAAACTGTGTAGTCTTCAGTAAAGACTGGGAGAAAAAAAAAGTATCGCTTCACGGTCGTTAACAGATGTTTTATAGACGTGGTGCTTGTTAAGACTGGGGGAGAACAAATAGCTGGTGTTGTTTCTAAAGAGTTATTTATAACAGAAGATGGCTGTGCAGGGCAATAACTCCACAAATAAAGGCCCAAGTCCCTGAGGAGAGGGGGAACTCAGAGGCATTATGGGTTGCAAAAAGAGCTCCTAAAATGCTACTATTTCAAAAATATTCACATAAAAACGATATCTTAATATAAAATTTAATTCAATTCAATATATTTATATAGCACCAAGTCATCTAAGGGCACTGAGCAGATATTCATACATAAAAATAATAATTTAACATTATCTGAGGAGCAGACTGCTTTGAGTTTAACTCCATCACAGAACTCTCATCTTGAGCAAGCATGAAGGCGACAGTGGAAAGAAAAAACTTCCTCATGAGGAAGAAACCTT